GAAACACTTTGACAACTTTTTGATAATTTTTCAGAAAGTAAGCACTTTAGTTTATGAAGAGTTTGAAGAAAGGGTGTGAAATATTTTAATGTTTCGATATTATCATTCTGTGGAATAATGGAGGTTATATGGAGATGGGAGATGTAACCTAGCATTTCTTATGTCTGATCAAGATACGAAAAGAACAATCGCTTGATCTTTTCTGTGATTGCCATGATTATGATGATGGGTTTGAATGTATCTGTACAAGTTACATCATTTATTTGAGAGGTATAATGGCATAATTCTGCCTGTTAGAAGCTGAAGTAAGTTAATGGCAAGACGAAGATATTGTACGCTGATAATTAACTCGATATCCAGTGTGGTGACATATTGTGGTTGTATAATCTGAGGTAGAAGAAAGGGGAATATTTAATGTTAATTTCTATTGGCAAACTCCATGTCGTTTTGAGATTCTTCGTTGTAACTAGCTTTAGAAATGTGGCACAGAGAGATGGCAGACAAAACTGTGGCCAATTGTATGAAGAACGTTAAACAAAAAGATTAGTAACGAAGAAGAATTATCCCTAGATATGACACCTGTCCCCATTCAGATTCTCCGAGACTGAAGCCTTGAAAAAGGAAATGAACCAAAGTTCCCAGTTCCGAAGAAACTATCAGAAATCATGACTCAGGAGACAAAGTGATTATACAATTGGCGAATATCCCTAGTGACGACGTTAATCCGTATCCCTGGTGACCAAAGATAATGGAAGAGACGGGCTTGGCATATTTGGTTCCTGAACAAGTTATTAAATTATAAAGTGTAATGATTATAAGCATTTTTCAACGGACTTCGCAAATGGGGTAGGGGAAAAGTTATGCAGTAGAGTTCCATAATTATTTTTAATTTTCCTTTTTTTCGGTATAAGTATAAAATGTTTGTTAATTGTAGTGTTAAATGGGGTTAATAGGCGTTACATTATAGTGATAGGTTAGGGCTGTTTTGGGAAGAAGAATGGTATAATATATCTTAGAAACCAAATATTTGACCATACAAGTAAGATGTATATAATATTTATGGAACCGAGAGAGTCTTTGTTTATAAATAATTCGCTGTAAAGCATTCTGATTCTGTTTAAAATCACATTCAACTTAACAGTAAGATTTTACATTTTATTTAATTTTTTGAATTTGTAAGTAAGTTACATAGCCAAGAGAAACTAGACATATGTGTAATTATTTTAAAACCTGGATGAACTGAATTTCAGGGAGTTTTTTTTTTCAAAACTTACAGTACCCGAGTTGTTGCAGTGTAATGATATCTCTAATAAATTATCAGGTTATCATGTGTCAATAAATCAGTGAACCATCTGTTAATACTTAAAAAATCGAGTTAGCTGAGGGGCCGTTTCAAAGAAATACTAATTTGTCAGGACCTTGAAATAATTCGTTGTCATAAGTATTTTCAATAAAGATTTGATTTTATTTGCTAACTTCTGAATTCCATAGACGTAAAAGACCAACATGCAATGCGCCGGAAGCAAAATAGATTTGTTTTGTTTTTTTAGCGCAAACCTACACATTGGACTATCTATGCTCTATCTGCCGCAGGGAATCAAACTCCGGGTTTAAACGTTGTAAGTCAGTAGACTTACCGCTGTCCGTGAGAGAAAAGGAAGAGAAGGTATGCGCTAATATACAAAAAGTAATACTAATACGAAAATTCTCCGGATCGTAATATGATTATGTATAATAAAAATCGTTTTGATACTTTCACGTAGATGAAAGATTAGTGTACGGTATCTGTTGTAGATTATACATACTGTACAGATGTTGAAAGATTAGTGTACAGTATCTGTTGTAGATTATACATACTGTGCAGATGTTGAAAGATTAGTGTACAGTATCTGTTGTAGATTATACATACTGTACAGATGTTGAAAGATTAGTGTACAGTATCTGTTGTAGATTATACATATTGTACAGATGTTGAAAGATTAGTGTACAGTATCTGTTGTAGATTATACATATTGTACAGATGTTGAAAGATTAGTGTACAGTATCTGTTGTAGATTATACATATTGTACAGATGTTGAAAGATTAGTGTACAGTATCTGTTGTAGATTATACATATTGTACAGATGTTGATCAGATGTGAAATAATTAATTTTATCTTTCTTTACCGCTAAGGTATTGGTACTTTTGCTCATGAGCCCCCCAGTGGCACAGCGGTATGTCTGCGGGCTTACAACGCTAGAAACCGGGTTTCGATACCCGTGGTGGGCATAACAGAGATAGCCCATTGTGTAGCTTTGTGCTTAACTTCAAACAAACAAACAATCTTGCTCATGAAATACTGGTGCGAGTTTGTTCTTTTAATAAACGAAATGGAAGACATAGTATTAAACAACAGACATATAATAATACTTGAAATTCTGTAAAGTAAAAATTAAATGTTTTCTACGAAAGAAAATCAACAACATATAATTGATGAAATATATACAAATAATTGAATTATCTGTATAAATTTTACCTAAATATATCATATATTATTTCTGATCATTAGTATTTGGTATTTTCGGTCTGAATGGCATCTTGTGTGACGCCTGAGTTAAACGGCAAAGTCACTGACCCTAAAGTCCAGACATTGTCATCAAATAATTTGAACTGAGCGCAAAACGTTAGCAGCACTCACCGCCTACAAGGCTACTCTTAATCAAATTGCGTCATTGGCTTTCACAGCAACAGTACCTATGAGTTTGGTAATGAGCACCATGTTCCAGCCTTGGACCTTCCGATCCTCAATCCGGAATGTTACCTGGCCCTTTGATTATTAGTAAGTGGTGTGAAATAGGTAAGTGCGTAGAAATAAAAACAGGTCACTAATATGTAAGTCGCTGACTTAAATGGATTAAACAAGAACCAGAAGACTAAAGATGATTCTTAAGAGTTCATACGGAATAAAACTTATGAGAAAATCATCAGTTTATCAGTTACTGCCATCTTTCCGGTTTACATTTTCATCTTCTGATTGCAGTTATATGCATGCTAATAAAGATCCTCTGTAAAAATACACTGAAAAACTGGTTGTTTTATCTGATTTCTGTTTTATGTCTAAAATAGAATTATACCTCAATATCAATGTGAAAGCGATTCGATTATTATGAAGGCAAAACCCACGCAAATAAATTTGATCTTCCAAAAATATACTAAACACTCTGACAATGAGTTCTGACTAACTTATTAGTTATAAATGCACATACGCACGCTTAAAGCTCGAAATAAATTGATAGTTATGACTTTTGTGAATATTCTCTGTGTTGTTGATTATTACAAGAGACAGCCAGAATTGATTACCTCTAACAATGTAGAACCTCTCTTAGTTAAGATTCTATCAGGTTTTGTTAATCGTTTGATACATGTAGACAGAAAATATGCTCTACATTAGAATACATTAAATATCTGTTGATTATACTTCCTATAATCACTTCTGTGTTAAACAGCTTCAATAAAATTGAAGTTAGAAATCATGTGTTGTTGAGTATTATATCGAACATTGCATACAATCAAACATATCTAACGGGTTTTGTAAAAATACAGAGGTAACCGTAAGTATGCAATATAAGTGAACTTTCAAAAAGACTCGAGTAAATTGATATGGTATAATTTAAAACTGTCAATACATATTACATTAATTTGAATAATTTAAGTCGATTTTCTCGTACAATTTAAACTTTTAAACATTATAATCAAACATTGTTTATTCGCCAATTTCTGGAAACTTAAAAGACATATGATGCTCTTTGGCAAATACAATAATGGCAATTAAAAGACACTACTAAGATGGATTATTTACGTGTTGTTTGAAATAACACTTTTCAGCGTCTTGTTTTTTTTTAATCTAACCAATTAAGGATTATCAATGAAGAATGGTCTTGCCAAAAACAAACAAACAAACAAACAAAGATTTATCAAGCCTCTTAACAGTCCACCAAAAAAGTGGTGAAATAAATCGTTACAAGTTTACAACAACAAAATGCTCTAACAGAAGTGTAAACGCATGGTCTCACAGTTTGTCGTATACGGGCACTAATATTTGGTGTATTCGTGCAGTCAGAGGTTGTACAACTTTTTCTAACACGGAAACCTTTAAAGTAAAACATAGTTTCCCGATTGGACCACATCACGTGCTTAATGAAGGCTGAGGTGATACAAGTTGTTTTCCAATCCTAAAAAATGATGGTCGGTTAGTTGGAATTGTTGAAAAGTACTGTATATAAAACTCAGTCGATTGGAGGGTTTCTTTTTCTCCATCTCGCTAAATTTGGAATTGAAATCCAAGAGATTCTTGTGGAGAAAATCAAATGACATGCAACAGAAAAAGCAGCAACTAATAAACCCACAAATATTGATTTAGTTAATATGGATGATGAGCCTTGAAAGTGAGAACCAAGAAGTGTGACATCCTAGTAGTTGAAGCATAGTTAAAAAGTACCTTAAAACTATAAGTAACAGTTGAATTAGCAGTTAACACTTTAGCTCAGTTGATAAAAGCGCTTGTTTTTTGTCTAGTCAAAAGCAGCAGTATCATTTGCTCCCATTTTCTCACTGCACACTTTAAAACATCTGCATCATTATTATTATGAGGCAAAGTTTCTTTTTCGTCAACTAAAAATATTTAAAATCAACAAATTTAAAACTGACAGCCAGTTTGTGTATAGGATTGTCAAACGTATTATTCAATGAGTAACGTGGCTGTTATAATCTATATATTATCTTTCTGTTCATAATTTTCAGGTTTAGAAAGATCCCATTAACCTGTTAACTTTGAGTTCGTGAATTTTGTTGAACAAGAGCATCGATCCTAACTTCTTTACAGAAAATAAAAAAATGAGTAATTTGTTATGAATCAACACAAACTCAACTTAATCGGTTTATAGAATTCGATCAAGTACCCACCCCTATTTTTTAAAACGCTGATTTAAAGTGTTTCTCTAATAAATAAAGAAATAATCACCTGGTAAAAGTAGATGTTTCAGCTGTCCTCTAGTAATACCTCAGATCTTATTTTCAGTTCTTCACCTCGTGCATGCTTAAACCCCGTTTTCCTGCTGTTATTATACCAAAGCAGCCTTTTATCACGACTTGTGAATCCCAGGCGAGCAGGACACGTTCATTGGCTAGCGCAACAATTACAGCTTTCACACGAACCTATGAGGATCATAGAATATAAATCCGCTCCAGAGTTTTCACCAATCGTAAACCACCATGTGAAACAGAGAGCACGCTGGCATGTTCCGCCTCTTCACGTGCTCTGTGTCCAGGATGTCCGGGCCGGAATGTTCCACTGCTACGGCAAATTCTTAGGCAGTATTAATATGAATTTTTAATACGGGAATTAGAAACCACGCTCGCCTTGATTACCTTATAGTTCGTTACGTAGTCACGCAATCATCGCGAGTTAAGCCCTGGATTTTCGAACAAAACGGAAGAGCAGTCTCTTCCGTCCAAAACACACCTGCCTCTTGTCGTCACCCTTGATGTCCGTATTGTAGCCGTAAAGTAACTTAATCAAAAAAGGATTCAAGATTTAGTAACGCCCATTCACCAGGCAAATTTTCTCCTCCTAACTAGAACCTATAAATACTTGCCGTGAAGTACCGAATGTTTAGCTTTGTTTCGTATTACCTTTAGACTGTCACGAGGGGCGTTTCTCTAATGTTTGTGTCTCAACCTTTACGTTTGTAACAAACGTTCGTTTTTTTTCTTTTCTCGGAGCAATGGAAGGCGATTTGATATTCCAAACACTGTTTTTTGTTCAGTGTCGTAAAGCAACTTAATTGGTACATGCTGTGCCTACGTAAAATGCGAAAAGAAACTGATATTGATTTATATTCTACTCTTTATAAGCGGCAGGAAACTACACCACGCCATTGTTGTTTTAGTATATAAATACATATATTGCTCATAAGTAAATCAAAGACGCTGATTCGTTCATCTCGCGTGCAGTTGTGTTTGTTTCTTTACATTTTCATCCTATCTGTTAAACGTATTTTCAAACCCTTTTATAAAAGTACTAAATTTAAGGGATTTTTAATTTCATTTAATGACTACAACCAAACAATATAACTAACGTCCGGATAGCCACAAAATAGGCCTAATGTATCTTGTTGAAATCGCCGTGCATATATATATATAATTTTAAAATTTTGGTCACGAACGCTATTCTAACGTCATTATATCAAATCATGTTTAACTTATTCATGAGTAGAAATCATGTTGAGTTGTTATTATCATTTTTTTTTTTGGTACAATACAACATGACATGTGAGGGTGGTATATACAATAAGGTAGACAGCATAACTGTGAACCGGATTCCAAAAATACTGATATTACTAACAAAAGTTTTAAACAAATTGAAATCCTCCATCCTCATATAACTTTTCGCACAAAAACAAAACAATAAGACACTCGCGTCATAAAGCATAGCGCCGGGGCACGCGCTCGGCCCGTGTCACGAGCACGACTGTACTATTAGACACCGTTGACAGTTTCGTCCAAGTGTGACGCAGAGCCCGTCACAGGAACTCTATTCATCAGAACTAAACTGATAAAAACGTCGATAGGGTTTAATTAACCGCACATGGCCACGTGGTCACAGAGACTAAGCACCATTGTTGTTTCAATTCGTCTTGGGCTTGTGACATATACAGGTGACCTTATATACGACATGACAGTTCCGTTGCGAGTTTGTTTTCGCTTATTATTATCATAGTTTCGGGATTATTTTCGTTTGTTTTTTGACATTTTAATTTGTGTTTCTTCCAGCTATCTTTAACTTTTACATAAATTAACGAATCTACTATAGTCTTTAATTTACGTAAACCAAATCGTTTTAGTTAACAGCATATAGACACAAAAACAGTTTGAACCATAGAATGTCATTACTTTCAATTTAATGTTGTAGCATTGTTCATTATACCTTCCTGCATTTAAAAATTAAGTCTGTTGGACAGCGATTTAGACCTTTTTACATTAGTGACTGGCTTGACCTAATGGTCAGGATGCTCGACTCACAATCTGTGGGTCGTGGGCTAAAATCCTTTCACCGAACATGCTCGTCGCGAGGGTTTGTTTGTTTTGTGTGTTTTTTAATTTCGCGCAAAGCTACACGAGGGCTATCTGCGCTAGCCGTTCCTAATTTTTTTTTTTAATATTAGAGG